ATAATCTTATAAAGGATAATAGTTAATAGCAAGGATTTCCAAAAGAGTGATTAATAAAATAACTTGATTTAAAATGGAAATTGACTTAAGAAAGAGTTTCCCAAGAATTGGGGTGGATCCAGAATTATCTGCAGCTAACTATGATCCAATAGATTACAGTGTAGTAGAACTCTTCTGTACAAAGTTATAAATTATTGTCAGAAGTGTACAGTGATTTGGAAATCGACACATAAATATTGGTCCCCTATGTCAGTGTAAATGCAATTGACAACATTTCTTCATGTCCTGCTGTACTGAGATACACATTTTGAATGGAGTAAAACGTATCTATATTGAAAACAATAAAAGTTTCTTATTCATATTCCCCCTGAATTTAAACAAAAAACAAAGATATAATAAAATATATCAATAATGCATACCATGGCTTTATCCATTATGATTTGTACTTTCAGCGTTCTTTTCAATAGTGCAACATCTGATTTTTTCTGTGAAATAGAGAACATGAATTAAACATTTTCAAAATTCTTACATTGTAATATATATACTCTATATATTCTATACACTCAAAGGGATAGACAGAAATAGACTATATACATTTGTACACACACATACAGATACAAATACATAGATATAGACAAAGATATTGACATAGGTTTACACATAGACGTAGATAGAGACAGAGATGACACAGATAATAGGAAAATGAGAGGATGGGAAACCACTTAGAAGGTGGAATTCTAAACAAAAATTGTAGCAACAAATCAGAAGTGTTTTACTTTATATTACTATATAATANTTTAAGCTAAACAAACTTCCATCAACTTTCCCCCAAAATGTTCTATTTTCTCATTACTTTTGTACTTTTAGTTTTTTATATTAACTTCACTGAAGTTTACATTCAATACAATGTTCCCATTTTACGTATGCAGTTGTATGATTTGTGGCTAATTCTAAAAATGGTTACACGTACACTCATGTAATTATTTACACAGTTAAGATAAAGAATGTTCCCTCTACACTCTTCCACGTCAATAGCCACACCGCTCAAGGCCAC